TTATTTTTTTTTGATGAGTAGTACTTTTAAAAAATATAATTCACTACCAGGTTACAAAAATTTATAATAAATTAAAAGTTTTAATTAAGAAAATAAAATAAAATATAATAAATTAGATTCAAATAATATTTTAATATAAACAATAATTTTTAAATAATTTTTAAATTTTGCTCAAATCCTTAACATCTTATAACTACGTTATTAGGGTAGTCAAAATGGCTCTTTGTTCGTGAAGAGCTTGTGTTTGGCTTTCTAAGCAAACGAGCCGAATACGAATACATTTTTTGAGCTCAAAACATAAACTAGCCGACACGAGCTGTCTGGGCCGCTGAGTCATTTACATCCTAATTAAGAGTGAAGAACCTAAAGGGCGTTTTCGTAAATCCTCTACCTCTTCCTCGCAAAACTCGAAGGCTGATTAAAAAACAGAGAGCGGGTAAAAGAAAAGGAAAATTTTTGTTAAAGTTAAGGGGCGGTGGGAGGATGCAATCAAATCGTCCGGTTAGGGCGACAGCAGAAGGAGAGGGGAAATAGAGTTTAGAAAGAGACGATAAGAGAATTCATGACTCCACACTTTCTTATTTGAGCGCACAGAGGGCCAGACGGCCAGACGGCGAGAATAGAGAGGCAGAGGGTGGGAGAGAAGAGGAAAAGGAGAGGCTGAGAGCTGTCATTACCCTCTTTCTTTGATCCCAACCGACCTGCAACTTTCATACTTTCCATACCGAGCAACGGCGGCCACGATGGCGTCACGAAAGGGTCGATCGCCGGCGGCTGGTTTACCAGCAACAGCGCCACCTCTTCCGCCGGGAACCGAGACGCGTTTCCGCGGTGTCCGCAAGCGGCCTTGGGGCCGCTTCGCCGCCGAGATCCGGGATCCTGGTAAGAAGACGAGAGTCTGGCTTGGCACCTTCGACTCCGCGGAAGAAGCAGCACGTGCCTACGACACCGCTGCGCGGGCCTTGCGCGGTCCCAAGGCGAAGACCAACTTCTGCGCTCTTCCTTCTCACGCTTCCACCCCCGTCGGCGGATCCGGATCCGTCGCCCTTCCCTTTTTCCATCAACAGCTGCCGCCGCCCTCGAGGCCGGCGTCGAGCAGCCTCAGCAGCACCGTGGAATCTTTTAGTGGCCCACGGATTTCTGTTCCCTCGGCCATCTATATACGGCCGCTTGTAAGGCCGTCGCCTCCCCGGGTGCTTGATGATGATCAGGACTGCCACAGCGACTGCGGTTCTTCCTCGTCTGTAGTTGATGACGGAGACATAGCATCCGCGTACAGGCAGCCATTGCCGTTCGATCTCAACCTTTTGCCACTTCCGGATGATGAACTCCAGAGCACCGCCTTATGCCTCTGAATCAAAGCGGCGAAAGAATGCAAACTGGTTTTCTTCTTCTCTTTTATATGTTTTTTTTTTCTTTTTTTTTTTGGTTCTGATTTGGAACCGGAGGGGGGGCGTATGATGGTTGCGTTATGTTTTTGCTAGAATTTATCAGATCTTATATATTTAGGTTCTGATCATTTCAGATCTGGAGCGTTTATCGAATCTACTTTTTTTTTTCTTTTCCTCAACTTCGTGTTCGATGATGCCTTTCCCTTCCGCATCTTATCGTGTACAAATTTTTATCCATCTAGTAGATTGACTGAGATGAATCAACAAGGCTGGAAACCAATCGATCTGATTTCAGAGATTGTGGGATTAACATTTAAAGTCTTCTATTTCTAATAACCTTTTGAGTCTTTTGATTTGTCACCTATGCCTGATGTGAAGATCGGCATGTGTACATAAGTCAGGCAAGGTTGTGATGTGGTTATGAACTACGTGATGTACTAACGCGATAAAGAGAGAGTGCGTAGGGGTTGCGAGTTTTGTAGCTCTGGCTCCACAAAACTTGTTCTTAGGCGGCGGATTCACGGCAATGCCTGCTGCCGAAGTTTCAGGTATTACAAATTTAAAATAATCATTAGGTTGTCTCATCTTTCCATGAATTTTATTCACTTTGAACAAAGGGATTCGGTTTGGAGAAAGCTAAAGCAATTTTGTTTCCCTGAATATAAGTTTCTTCTTTCAGTTAGATTTTTTCTGTGACATGGAACTGATCATGGAGTAATCTGAGAGATTTTCTTTCTAATAACTTAGATTAATGATGCATTCAGATGCACTGAAGTCAGTAAAAATCCTTCTTTTGCTAGCTCTTGCAATTTTGTTCATTCTAATTGGGAGATCATTATTGTGAATGCTTCATTTATGAAATCTTGCCGTGTGGATGTATGGTTGCTTGTTGTACTACTACATTGTGTGGATCTCCATTGTCTTTTCTATTATTTCACCTCTTTCTACTAACTGTTTTCTTATTGTTTTGAGTTATTTTATTTCATATCTTTGTGATTTTGTTCCCAAGGGTGTGTTATGGTGGAGTTTTATTGTGAATTAATCCTAGCAGTTTAGCGATTTGATCTGTTTTGATCCAATTCTTCTTATTAGGCGTTAATATCATCCACATTCATAGTTTTTCTTCATTTTGGTTTTCAATTCGTGAGTGGGTTTGGTTAAGATAGCTTAGGCCTAATCCATTGCATTCGATAATAGCTAAAAGGTCAAATTATGTGTCATTGACGACTTGTTTCATTTCTGTTCAAATTAGGTTAAGCCAACTAAATGTTATTAAGCATGACTAAGCGGCTTAACTGGTCAATAAATAACTTTTATTATTCTATCATGTTAACAAAATGATTTTAGTGCTTAAATTTTCCCTGTTGAGTCATTTTTGTTGATTTTATGAAGGGCTAAAATAGGCCCTAGCTTCTTGCAGAGGTCTTTGTGGTTGGTTGATTTTATGAAAGGCTCAAATAATTTCCTGAAATTTATCCAATTTTTTCAGATAAGCAGTTTATCATGATAAGCTGTTAATCAGTAGCTGATCCCGGTAAGCTGATTAGTTATTTGGTTTGTGCGTTTCAAAAATAGTTGATTTGCAACTATTTCTGGATAAATGATCATTCAACCCTCGCACCATTAAAAGTTGGTTTAAATTAATATTATTATGAGTTTAAAATAACTCTACGTTACTAAGGGTCTGTTTGGGGCAGCTGCAACCTATTGAATAATCTACTAATAAGTTAATTAAAAATAATCTGTTGATATAGATACGGTGGCTATTAAAAATTTTTATTTTATTGGAAAAGACAGACCGTTGTCAGAAAGCTGCAACCGCACCTAGGTAGATGCGGTGTAAAAACGTTGTTTTCAACATTTTGAAAACACATAAGCTGTAAAAATGCAGTTTACCCAACAGGTCAGGTGCGTTTTCAAAATGCCGCCGTACCAAATAAGCTGCCCCAAACGGGCCCTAATTAATGGATCATTTTGGCACTTCACAAATTTAAGCTTACGCTCCATGAATCATCAAATTAGAAAAATAAATAGAAATGTAAACTAATACAACTTTTAAGGGTGAGGTGCTTAAGGCTGGCTTTGTTTAGTCACAAATCACAATTAAGCTCACGAACAAGGGAAAGCCCTAATCATTGATGAGGCATGCCTTGTTTAGTCACAACTCATAATTTAGCTTTTCATTTGTTAGATTATTTTGTCACTTCTAATTTTGTGTTCTTAGCTAGCTATTCAATTTGGAATAGGTTCGGGTTATGTGACATATTTGTTATATAGTATTTTTTTAAAGGGGCATTCACATTATTCCTCTCAATTCTTATATATTTATGTATCTATAAACTTGTTTTTTAATATTTATACCAACCAAAATTTTTCATATCATTTATATGTGAGATGGCATGTATCTGCAAATTAAAGTTTGGAATGTATGTATTTATGATTATTTTTTTTATATTTTTATTAAGTACGTGACATTTTTTATAAGTTTTATTTGTATGTTCCATTTTATTTATTGTCGATGCATCATTTTGCTCTTTTTTAATTATTAAATGTATTTTAGTAACTATTAGGTAAAGAAATTTGCATGAAGGTTCCAGAATCAAAACATTTCATTTTTTCTCGTAGCTGTGCTTAAATAATTAGAGTTATTAAAAGTCTCTTGAATGTGAAATTATTAAAATAGCGTGTCGTGTCAGGCTGGCTGTTGGAAGTTTTAATAGTTCAATCGTGTAACCAGAGGTTTAATTAGCTGGTTTAATTGTATTTCCAAAAGTGATTATAATGGGCCAAAAGGAATCTAGAATGATTTAATGCTCTTTTTTTGGGCTGAAGTCCACCAAATGATCCAAACCAACGAACTGATAAAGTATAGACAATCCAAGCAAATCAAATTGATAAATTAGAGACAATTCGACCTAAGGAGTCGAGAATATGATTGGCCAACAATCAGGTCTTGAGTGGTTGAGTATGGTTAATTACAAGTTGTTGGGTGAAATATCTGAATATGAGAGACCGATTGTTGGTCGATACTATGTGAATGTCATTCCCGTGAGTTATGCGCCAAAAGTCATACCATACAGTACCAGATGACTCATGAGGCGAGTGCCCACATCAAGATTGAAGATTTATCAAAAATAGTTGACCGACTAATCATCAGATGTGGCCCAACAAAATGGCAGAGTATGGAAGAAGGAATAGGTTCCCACAGAAGATAAATAAAAAATATATACCTGAGATGGCAAATGACAAATCCAAGCACTTAGAGATCCCAATTGATCTGAGCATAATCATAATCCATGTATATTTATTTTAAAATATAGATGAGTTATGATTATTCTTGGATCACTTCAGTTGTATCCTCTACTTTCTTTGTAGCTCATCATACTCATCCTTTCTAGTTAGTTTTATGCTTGAGGTATGAGTTCACGTCTAAAACATGATTCAACATTTTTAATAATGTGGAAAGTGTGAATCATGCCACAAACAATAAACATATTACATAAAAATTAGAACCAAGTAACAAAGAAGTTACTAGTAGCATGAATTGTACTAGAGAATTTGTCTTTCAATAGATGAATGAATTAACATAGTAAGTGATGGATATGATAAGAGTGGCCTTGGCCCAATTAACAGGAGATCAGATGCTACCACATCAATCGGTAGCGAAACCGTAGCGAAGAGAGGAACTCACTGTCAATTTTAGAGGTAACCCCTAGTAGATAATGATGACTCGTACTACCAAGATAACACGAGCTTGGCCCCATCCAACTATGAGAGGAGAGTCAAACCCCTCTTCCATACTAGCTAAAGAATGTTTTTTTTCAGAAAAATAGTTGAAGCCGAAGCATCTAATCACTTTAAGATTCCATCCTTGGATTCCTACCAAGGATGAACTAATATACCTTACCACATTACCCCATTTGAATACTTCATATATCTATTAAGGATTAATGATGCCTAGATATGTTGATTTTTTTTCATAACTCTAAAGTTCTTAGCCTTGAGATGTTCAAATGTCAGCATTTAAGAGTCATAATCTTTTATGAGAATTTCATGAGAATGTTTGTAGCACAGTTCACCTATGCTTAGAAACCTCAGAGGACTTCATAGACGTTATGTAAGATAATGTGTCATTCATTATTGTGGATAAGACTCCTCTGGATATATGCTACTGATGAGCTATCCTTCAGGAACCTCATTTTCATTAGATGGTCAATGAAGTTTGTTTTCGTTTATTTTTCTCTCTTTATTTTAGAAGAAGTCGTCAGCCTGTTGATCGTTGATACTTCTCTTTCCCGAATAAGTCTCTCTTTCGGGTCATATGGAAGACCCGAAGAAAAGATGAACCGAAAAAGATAGACATATGATAAAGCGACAAACAAGAGAAAACACAAAACGTGGAGAGCCTACGTACAATAAATCTCACAAGGATAAGTTAAGAGTGTCCGCCCAAACAAGATCGGGCGGAGACACCTTGAACCGATATCCGCAAAAGAAATATCTACATAGACTACCCATAACCAGAGTGTCAGGTGTATGTACCTGTTTTGGGGTCAAGAGCACTCCTAGAGGAACGTGTTCATACTAGTTAATTATATTTTGGGGGATACCCAAGAATACTCTCGATAAGAGGAGTTTCGCTTTATATTATCATTGACCTGGTGTTTATGCAATCAAAGGAAGGTTATTTTGTGTGGGAACAGTCTCAATGCTTCAAAGCTCACACTAAGCCATCAGACAGAGAGTGAGTCTCTCAAATCTCGAATGAGTAGCGGCTCATTGGCTCACGGGGCTCACGGAATAGTATGGCCGAATATTTTGGTGACCCTAATAATATATGCAGGAAATAAATGTTCAGCTTTTTAAAGTCCTGAATATTTTAATCCTAAATTTTAATTATCTTGAATATTTTATTTAGAATTTTGTAGAAAATTAGGAGTTTAAGTCCTAAAGAGTCTGTATTGCATCGTGAAATCCCATATCATTGAAAGAAATACTGAAAAATATGCATATACAGACATACATGCATGTAAAAAAAGTAAAACAAGTCAAATCAAAATAATAGAAAATGTCAGTGTCGTTGGGTCGGCAACATACCCTAAAGAAGAAAAATGCAGTCAGACTCCGC